TTTTTTTTTTTACTTTTTCTGTCATTACAGCTTGTGTTCTAAAAACTGATCAAAACAATAGCAACAAAACTTTTTTTTTTGGTGCTGGGGATCAGACTCGGGACCTTGTACTTGTGAAGCAGGTGGCGGAACCACTGAGCTAAATCCCTGGCAACAAAACATTCCTTATTCTTGTTTGTTTTAGTAGTTTGGAGAGTAAGCAGAATTATTCATTCTACTCTCAATGTTGCAGTCCACTATCTGATTTCTATTATATAAATGTGTTGTCTTCATCCTCCACTGTTGTTGTCTTATGGGATTATACGTTAAAATTTTTTATTTTTTGTAGTACTAAGGATTAAACCCAATGCCTTAAACATGCTAAGCAAGTGGTCTACCATGGAACTATATCCCTAGTCCTTTAAAATTTTTGTTTTAAGGTAGGATCTCAATGAGTTACTCAAGCTGGCCTTGAATTTTTGATCCAAGGGCTGGGTTTAAGGCAAGTGCAACTAAACCAGCCAAATTTCTTTCTTTCTTTCCTTTTTGAGACCAGGTCTCATTTTGTAATTCATGCTGGCCTTGAACTCACTGTGGAGCCCTAGCTGGCCTCGAATTTGGAGGGATCTTCCTGCCTCAGCCTCCTGCTGGAATTATAGGGGTGTGCCACCACACCTGGCACCAGTTAAATTTCTTTATAGTAATTTACATAGCATGCCAGGATGGATTGTACTTAAGTATTGGGTCAAGTCGCCATTTCTTTAGATGTCCCAAAATTCTTTTTCAAAGTGCATAGTTAGCATCCCAGAATTTCATGATCTGAGGATTGGAAACAATTGTAAAACTAATCTAGCTTAATGAACTATTTGATACTTAGAAGTAATTGTCTCCATCCTAAAATATGGGAAACTCACAGCAAGAGATGAATAATTAGAAAAAATGGATTCGCCAGTGAGTATCTATCATACCTTTTTTTTTTTTTTTTTGAGGCAAGGTCTCACTATGTAGTTAAAGCTTGCCTTGAACTCACCACGTAGTGCAGGCTAGCCTCAGACTCAGGCCCTTCTGCATTAGCTTCCTGAGTGCTAGGATTACAGGGATGTGCCACCATGCCCAGTCCATACATGTTTTAATATTGAATCAATAAACAAT